CACCCAACGAACTGCGATCATTAGAAAACTTCTCAGCAGTTTGCTTTCCTGTTTATGGTCAACTGCACTTTCAGTCTCCATTAAGAACACAGCTTTATCTTTCTGTATGGCTCCAGATTTAGCAACAATTACTGCAGTGGAATTTAAGACACAGCTGCAGCTTTCTTGCTTTGTTATGTGAAGGGTTGAATATCTTCTGCACGTTTTAATTTTATTTTTTGGTAAGTGCTTTACGGCGCTTGCAGCTGCATAAGGTTATATGAGTGCGGGACGTATTAGTAGAAAATTTTGAGTTTTTGCCAGAGTGGCGGCTGAGGCCCACTCTTATTATGGATTTTAGGACCTCCAAAGGATCTTTCACATACACAACACGCATATGGGACCTCCAAGAATTTTTCGCTCTTATCCAAGAAGCTTAGGTGTTAGATCTTACCTACCCTAAGATCAGGGGTGTGGTTGAAAGACAATAAGAAGGAGCCAAGGAGTAGCAGTAGAAAGGCTGCAGATCAGGCAGTTATGAGCGTGACATGATGAATCAGCCCATTTACAATTCTACTGTGCTTGAACGAGAAAATGGGGGCAAAGGGGGAACATTTCTCGTTCAAGCACAGTAGAATTGTAAATGGGCTGATTCATCATGTCACGTCCATAACTGTGCCTTATCTGCAACAGGGAACTGCTGCTTTTTCTTTCCTAATCCTTACTATTGTCATTTTCGTCTACTTCTTTTGTATGTTTGTCACTCTTGTGACCTGCTATTTCTGGGGTGCCTTGATAGTCGAAGCAGACCTTGTGCTGTTGAAGCTAGAGAGGTGAGCAGAGTAAGTCTGATTCCCTGTAAAGACTTCTCTGTTAGAGGGGACAAAAAGTGGAGGCGAAAGCAGACGACAGAATGGTTAGAGAGCTGGCAAGCAGGTGAATGAAAATTATAAGTTGCTGTCAGGTTCTGAATCTGGGACTTATTGAAAAAGAGGTGAACACTGTACCTCTAGACCATCAGAGACCCCCTTCTAGACTTTGACTGGAAATTGTACTGGTTAAAATTTTAAAGGTAGGTTTATTTCCCTGCTCTATTTTGTTTGAGTAAAGAGAAGCCCATGACACAATAATGGTCATTGAGTGGTGGGGAAAAAGTGAAACGGACAGACAGATACAACAGAGGGAGTAAAGAAGTAGGACCTACCAGTGGCGCCCTCCAACCACCCGCTATGTCCCTGCAACAATAATGAAATTATATACACAGAGGCAACAAAACCTTTCCATATTGCTTTTTATAACTGATCCCATATTTAAGAGTTGGCGAAATTTCAGGCATCACTCGCCATGTAGATCTACCCAACTATGACTCCGCACCAATGTTTTTCAAGAAAAAAACTGTAACCATGTAGTCATGTGACCCACTTGCAAATTCACATGTTTATTCACATGTTTTGTGAGTAAAGTCCCATCAAAATTATGAAATCGTCTAAATTGTATTCAGATCAACACATTAGTGACTTCATTTGGGCACCTATGGTGAGCGTGCTTTGTAGCAAAGTTTTTACAGACGGCAAAGGGTGGCTGCTATAACACTGCACGGTCTAGGAATATTATGATTCAAGTCTTACTTTGTTTACCGAAGAGGAATACAGTGCTTGGTGCAGTTGATGCAAATTTTGATTACAGCTTATATTTCATGCTTGAGAAATCAAGTTTTTATATTTCACGTGTGAAATATAGTCGTGTGAAATATAGTCGAACCTGCCCTGACGGCCACCTCTATAAGACGGCCAACTTCCGTTTCCCCCCTTGCGTTTTTTCTATATAATTTAACTGTGTAAAACGGGTACCTGTCCAACGCGGCCACCATATTTTAATACACAATCCCTATCACACCAAGCAATAACCCCTGTCTTAGACGGCCACATTAGTGACCCCATTACATTTTGTCATAAATTGTGCATTGGCCCCTGGTGCTGTGGGCGAGCAGTCATAATCCAATCACCTGTTGTTGATAGGTAGTCCCTCCAACTTATCATGATGAATAGGCCCCTCCCACTGTTGACCAATAGGTAACAAATTTTCAGCTGCTGGTGAGGTACAAGCGTGTGATCCCTCATAACCCATAAGGCCTGTCCAGAACTCATACACAAATCGTAAGTGAGATGAGTGGTCACTGTTTACCCAGTCTGTAAAAGTACTAAAAGTAAAAAAGAAACAATGAACGTCAACATGAACTTGTGACAGAAGTGTCGCTCGTTCTTCGAATGGTGGCGACCGATGTGTTTGTTTTACCATAGCACTCGGTCTTCCTTGTCTGACACATTTCGTATTGTTTCCCTTGCACAAAAGCAGCAACAAAAGAAGAAGAAGAAAAAACCCCAGCGAAAACAACAATAACAAACAACAACAATGCGGCCACCTTCGGCTGGGACCTCAGAAAGGAATAGTTTGTTTGTTTTCTTCCTCTTGATCAGTCCTGCCTAAGATGGCCACTTTTCTCCTTGACAACGGGTGGCCGTCTTATACAAGTTCGACTGTATAATGATTTATTTCACCGGTAGTGCAATGCTAAAACAACTCCATGTATGGTAAAAAATACTTTTCGACACAGTAAAACAGGACAACATAAACCTTACTGAACTAGAATAAACTCAAGAATTTCAATGGCATCAATTATCAATAAATGTTTATTCATAATGTTACTTGCGACAATAAAAGACATAAGGCTTCACTTCAGCTGCGTTGAAACACACTTGTGCTTAGATCTGAAATTGTACACTTGTGCAAGCCTCCACACTGACAAACACATTCACAATACTGGCACCCATTACAATCTCAATGTAATCTCAACTGGATGCTTAGTCAAACAAAAGTTCTCAATCTTTCCAAAAAGCTTCAGTCATAATCTTGTCTTACAGTTACAGTACACAAAAAATAGGAAAACATTTTCAAGAATACTTTAAAAATTTATCATAAATATTCACAGGAAAAACTGAAGAACAGCTTAGTTTACACATTGACCAAACAAGGATAACTCTACACACAAGAATTGAGGGCATCATGGTCTACTGATTGTAAGAAACACTGAGCCTTTAACATGAGAAAAAAACCAACATTAATCTCAATAAGTACACTAAAGACGAAGTATCAGGTATGGGGACAAAAAAGGAACACTTGAAAAAAAAAAAGGCCCCAAAAAACTATTTTGTATCAGACAAACACTAAAAATGAGGTGTTGATCATAAGACTAACACAATGAAAGCAGTTTCAATTCATCTATTGGAAAACCCCCACCCCTTTAAAAAGAAAAAAAAAAGATAATTTTCAAGGTGGCCTTCCGAACCTGCCTGTCAGGGCCAACCCAGGCCGAGAGGGATACAACATCCCAGTAGAAAGACAAAGATGAAAATTTTCTCCTCACTCGGGTCTCCTGTCAACGAGCCCAATTGCCACACCACAAACAAAAGCTCCCTTGCATCAAATCATTTTTTGAACAAACAAGACAAGAATTTTACTTTTTCAAAATTATCACTAGTTCTTGCTGGATATGTATTAAAACAGTTTCTTAAGGAGCAAAATCTCTTGCTCCTTCAGGGCTGGAAACAGTACAGCTGTATATATGCCTCACAACAATCGCCTACTAGATGGGTTCCACACCATAAATCCTAGCAAGAACTTCATGGATAATAAAAAGAGAGTCAAATTTCAAAACGAAAGGGAGCATTAAAGAAAACATCTTGAATACAGACCAGTGTGTAGCAATGCCAATGAAAATTTAATTTTTCGCTTTAGCCCTTTTTTATTTGGTACCTAAGAAAGAATTTCAATCTGAGAATTATGCTTTTTGAATTTCAAGAATCAGTTCATAAATAAAAAAGTTATGGGGTTGTAAAGGTTGGCAAAATATGGAAGACCCACATATAGGGAAATACTCCGAAACCGTGGACCACGCAAAAGCAGACTCTGTAAGAAAATCGACAATATCTCAGTAATTAATTGGAGTTTTTAAGAAAGAAACTTGGCTACTCGAGGTGTTTTTGGGTGGAAAATTCATTTCTGTAGTCAGATTTACAAACCATTTCGTAGTTATTTTGATATAATTACAGTTTTGATATACATACTACGATTTTGCGAAAAGGGGTGTCTGGATGAGAGCATTTTATTTAAAGCATCGTATCATAACATAGGATCTTTAAGAATATGTTGGCCGCGTGACAAAATAATGGCAAAGCTTTCTTTGATGACTTGAGACCATGCCAACCTTAAAATATAAGTTAATTCAATCTAGCATGCCGTACAATTAAAAACTTTTTTCCCGTTTGAGACACTAACACCCTGCTCGTCTCGGAATACACCCATTGTGATGTTACATGGGAACAGAGAGAAAAACAACTGGATGCGCCATTGCCCCATTTCAAGTGACCAATGAACGGGCTCGGAATAGTCATGCAGGGATTTGTAGGTCACATACATTTGCCGAGGAAGTGAGGGGAAAATGGCCGGTCTCTGTGTGAAGCCGCTTTGGATAGAGGGGTAGTCGTGCATTTATGATCGGGTCTAAACTTCTTGACACAGAACGTTCAAATTTGAAGCCACTATAGAGGAAAGATAGATTTCTAACCTTCTCGACGTTGAAATTCAATCTCCCTATAGTTTTCAGTATACCCGATACGAAAGTGTTCCCGACACCAAAAGTATAGGTTAATTTATGGGTACGAACTTCAACGTCCACATATCATTAGTTTGCCCTATTTTCTAATTGGTTGCCCAGTTTCATTCACATTGGTCCAGAAATAGAGAAGACCTAGGTTGAGAAAGTTAGTCATTTATGTGCTAACCCACTCCAAAAATTCACCCTCAAACAGGGACCAAATTTTCGCTGTGCGCGAAGGGCATTGCTACAGTATGCACAAAACATAGATCGTAACTGCAAAATGACAGGACAGTAAATAATATGATACTCTTAGCACACCTCGATCTGGATCGATAACAACAACAGCACACCTCGATCATTCCAGTTTCATACAATGATCACATTATAAAATAAACAGGTCTGCATTACAATCAAGAAACATATCCGCCCTCAAAAAGACTTCTTTAAAGCAATGAAAACATTAAACTGACCGTAAAGCCACTTCAAAAGATCTTTGGCTTTTTAACAGACCACTCTCTGGAGAACAGTGAAAACAAAGTGAGAACAAACACAAAATTGAGGAAGGAGGGAAATCCTTACCAGAGACCCAGGTACTGATAGTAACTGTAGCAGAATTCCATACATTTTGTCATGACTCTGCTCAAACAACATCACTCAGAGTAAAGAAAGCAAGGCAAGGCAAGGCCACTGTGGAAGCTTTTTTTCTTTACAAGATTTCAATCCTAAAGTCTAAAGGCAAAGGTTAGCACTGACATCATTCAATACAGATTTTAACCTACAGGGTGCATAAAATCCATGTTTCCACTGACTTACAAAAAAAAAAGAGTTCTGAAAATTACTTTTCATTTTACTCATATTCCGAGTCAAAGCACAAAGAAAAAAAGTTACCTTTGACATTTAAAAAAAATCAGAAGTAATCCAAGAAGATGCTGAAAGACAGTACATGTCCATGGAAAAGAAAAGACTAGCAATAATCACACAATACTTGAAACAAAAAGTGAGCAATGGCACATGGAAGTTTATCATTAATACAAAGAAAACCATGTAAGAAGTGAACACCGGGCCACTCTGATCTGATCCATACTATCTTGAGACTTTCAGTACAAATCAAACACACAGTGGCGACTTTGAACTCTTTATATTGCTGCAATACACTTTCCCACTCAGTTTTCGCTCCTAAGCTTGTACTGGATGACGGGGTTTGTGGGTGTGTGGATCATCGTAGACACGTTTACAGTGGGGAAGTAGCCATCAACCAAGTCAAACTCGTATTTCCTAATGAGGATGGACCAGATGGTTTTGATTTGCACGTAAGCGAAGGATTCACCGATGCATCTGTGGCGACCAGCTCCGAATGGGATGTAAGCAAATTTCTCACTGTTAGCCACTTCAGGGTCAAGAAACCTAGAGAGAAACAGAAACATAAAAAAAAAATGCTCTTGTCAGTATCTCGAAGTATAAACTATTCATACATTACACTGATCTGTGGAATAGGAAAGTAGTAAATAAATTTACTTAACGGTGCTATGTCATTTGTTCTCATCCTCTGAGTAATAAGAACATGACCAATGAGACCAACAAGTCTGTTTTCTGAAGATATTGGCAATGTCATGATCCAAACTGACATGTTTTGTTTTCATCTTTGTGATCTTATGTCGGGGTTCTCCTTAAAAAAAAAAAAAAAGAAAACGTGTGTATGCGTCCAGGGAAGCCGAGAATGTTTCTGAGTGTTCTTGGATCTGCTGGGGTATTAATAGTTGTAAAGCCAATAGAGCATGCTGTAGAGCATGGATATGTGCGACCTAACACACTGTTTTCTTAGCAAGGGTTGTCAAAATATTGTCCTCTCCTCAGTATTACTTTTCTCACAATTACTCACATGTAGCATGCTCTACACATATAAATACCATCATGAAATAACCTAACTATAAAGCTGCTACCTACAACTAATGAGATTTCCATAAGTCATCGTACTAAAAACATAGCAAAATGCTGACAGTACAACAAAAAAGGACTATTATTATTTTTAAAATCCAAGACTAATTTCTATGTCAAATTCTGGAAAACCGGCACTCATAATAATTGTCAGCTTACCTGTCAGGCATGAATTTGTCGAAGTCTTTCCAAGTGTCCGGGAGTCTGTGATTTGTGGTGGGGGACACACACACTTGGTGGCCCGGGGGGATAGTATAGCCCATCAAATTCTGCAAAACAGATGCAAGAACATTTAATTTTTTCAAAATTAATCCACCATCAAGCCTTCAGTTAAATAAAAGAAAGGGTTTTTAGGTTAACTCATTGTAGTTTGGGGAGAAGACACAAAATTACAGTCAAAATTGTCACCCACTGTCAAGGAGAAAAGTGACCATACCAGGCAGGACTGATCAAGAAGAAAGCAAACCATTCTCTCCTGAGGTTAAGGACACAAGGCCCATTGAAATGTTACCGACTGATCAACTCCGGTAAACAGTGAGAGGGACCAGAAACCTCGCCTTTGCAACGTGTTGGTCCACAATTAATTCATTCACACAATAGGCTAACAATAATGACAGGTAGATGGATTACGATGACTTGTCAACAGCATCGGGGGCCGATATACAATTTACGGCAATGCATTGGGCGATGAGAGATTGGACCGGCCATTTTGCACAGGTTTTCTGAGCTGTTGGTTGATAAAATGTAGGGGCTGAAGCCACGTTGGACTTTAGGCAAGTGTCATTGTATAAAAGTAAAAAAAAAAAAGGGGGGAGAATGGAAAATGCCATTTGTACAGGCGATTATCCTATTCAGGGGGCCCATCTCGGCAGGTTCCACCGTATCTGAAAAAAATTACTTAGAAAAAAAAAAAGACAACAACCCAAAGCTACCTGTGATGGTCCAAACATATTTAAGCACTGAAAGGTGAACTAGATCAGACATATATTTATTTACTGCAAACTGTATTGAGACTTTGTAGTTTTGTTTATACCATTAGACAAGATGAAGCAAGCTTTCCCCGAGAAATCACTCTCATTGCAACCATATTTAAAGTAAGTAACAACATAGAGGTTCCATCTGGATATCCTTGGATTTTTCCAGCTTACTCCGAAAATGTAATTAAAAATAAATGTCAACACAATGAACACCCCCCCCGTACAGTAGTCTCCACCTAAACGCACGCCACACAAAAGCACGCTCCGCTCAAACGCACACTTTCGTCGTGTGACGGGTTTTTTACTATATAATTTAGACGTACAAGCGCACGATCACTCCTTCTAAACGCACGCTCAGATTCGCGAAAACACGCTGACAGGTTAAGCTTGACAAGCGGAAATTTTCACTAAAACCTGCACAGCTTGATTAAGACAAGCCTAGAAAACCGGATTTTGGTGAGACTGGCCCCCATGCCGAACAAAGCGTGATGGACAGCGTTTTCGTATATCCAACTTTCCTCAGACACATAAGTTTAGGACTGGTCGATGAAATGTTGGGGAGTTGGGAAACTGAAATGTTTTTTGATTGGTCACTGGAAATGCAGTTTTGAGAGATGGTTTCTGACTGGTGTTTGGGTGACTGCATGTAATGTTTAGTTAGATCTAGGCTGAGGTGCGATCTAGGTCTATGATGAAGCGCAACACGCGTGAATGCTGTAAAACATTAAACAATAGATAGGCCTTTCTATAGGATTAAAGATTAGCCAAGTAGGCCAAATCAACTGCACTCGTAGAACTTGTAACGTAGGTCTATTTGTTCAACGAATCACGATAGAAATGTTTCTCTGAATGTAGAGATCTATGATTCTGAATAAATCTGATGTCATCCATGAATTTACGGTCGAGGGTGGTTGCTTGGAAAGCCACGTGGCTGGGCCGTCATCTCTATGACTATCACCAACAGTTTCCTCTCAGGCTATCTGTTCCCGACATTTTATGGTGCATATCATTACATTGAGTCTGTCTTTC